GTGGGCGATGGAGCCTCCCGGCCTGGCTGCCGGAAGTTTGACCTCAGCGTGTCCTCTCTGCCTTGGGTTTGGGGTCTTGTGGACAGGAAGGCCTTCTCCCCCCGATTTGTCCAGTAAATAATAATTTAATGTGTGTGGAGGGCTGGGTAGTGGCCCCCCAAGACATCCGCTTCCAGGCCCCAGACCCTGCGCATGGACATGACCTTATTTTGCAAAGGGGCCTGTGGCTGCGAGGTCGGCGAGGGTCTCGAGGTGGGGAGGTTACTTGGGGCGACTTTGGTGGGTCGGCCCTGGGTGTGATCACAGGGTCCTCACAGGAAGGAGGGGGCAGGGGGCTTTGACGCAGACACGCAGGGGAGAAGGCAAGGTGACCTCGGCAGCAGAGGCTGCCGCTTGAACACAGAGGTGTGGACCCCCGAGAAGAGCGGTTCGTTGGATGTGAACCCCGAGAAGGAATTTATCTGCCGAGGGGGCTCCCGGAGGCCAGCCAAGGCCCACATTTAGTGAGTAAGGAGGGGCCGTGGCTGGTAAGCAGGGAGCCCTGGGACTGGCCTCCGGGCCCCACACCGTGTCTGTTCAGTGTCGCCTGACCCATCCGGCACCGCCAAGCCTGCCTCCTGCTCCTGCGGACTGAGACCTGCCCGTCGGTGAGACCCGCGCAACACAGCCTCCCTGGGACCCGGGGCCAGCGGCTCCGAGGGGCGGCCGCCCCGACTCATCTCCCAGGCTGCGGCCCGGCCTGCTCAGGCCCCCGACTCTGAACTCAGCTGGCTCTGGGCGCGAGGGCCGCCCGCAGGGGTGCGTGGCAGCTGCTGAAGTCAATGAAGCCTCGGGAAGTGGATTCTCGACTCTGGAGGGAGCCAGCCCTGCGGAGGCCGTGCCCGGGGGACTGGTCAGGGCTCTGCCCCAGAACTGTTCTCTCCACCGAGGCTGCAGGCCCAGAGATGGGGGGCACCCAGCACTCCCACTCTGAGGGTCTTACACCAAGGCATCGTCTTAGACCTCTCTTCTCGGGCGCTGTGCTTTTGCCTTTCACATCGTCGTCTTCAGATCCCTGGAGCAAACGCAAAGGAAGCCTGGGAGGAGGAGGTCTCTCCGCGGTGTGGCCGGACCCCTGGTCCTCTGCTGGCAGGCGTGTGGGGCGCCGGGGGAAGGCCTCCTTCCGGTGACCAGTGCACCGTGTCCTCGGGTACCTCCGTGGCTGTCACATGGCCTCTCCGCCGGGAGGAGAAATGGATGAGATAAACACCAGGAAACGCGCGATTTTCCGTGTGCTTCCCCCCTGGCCCTCGTCCCTGAAACGCACGCCCTCCGCCCCCCACCCGCCAGCAGCCTCGCGCTGTCCTCTCTGCACAGCGACCAGCAGTGGACAGAGCCCAGCACCCTCCAGCATCCACGTCCAGTTCTCCGCCCCCCGGGCTCGACCTTGACCCCAGCTTTCAGTGTCTCCCCCGAAGCCCAGCGCTTTGGGGCTGAGCGCGCTGTAGACATTCGAATGCAGACCATACGTGGGCAGTCCCAGCATCTTGCTCCCAAACGTAGAGAGTGTGTCTGAAATCCCCCTGAATCAGAACGTGTTTGTTATGTGTTAGAACCGATGGCGCCTCCACGGTTTCAGGGGGATCTCGCAGGCCTTGCCCCGTGACCTGGATAAAGCCGTTCCTGCAGGAGGCTTTTGTTGGTCTTCATTGTGTCTTCGGCCTCAGGCCGGGCGTCCCATTGGCGCTGTGGCTGGGGACGTCCGCCCAGCTGCCCGCAGATGCAGGAGGGGCCGCACGAGGCACCTGAGAATTTTGGGTTCGTTGGAGCCGCTGAGCAGGAAAATAGGGGGTCTTGGTTCCATTTGCTTCTCTTTCTAAAAAATACGTTGTTACTGATGTTTTTAAAGATAGAGGAAGGGAGAGAGAGAGGGAAACATCGCTTGGCCGCCCCCTGCACACCCCCAACTGACAATCGAGCCCGCAACCCGGGCATGTGCCCTGAAGGGGAATTGAACCCGGACCTCTGAGTTCCTGGGACGGCGCTCAGTCCACTGAGCCACATCGGCCGGGCAGTGCCGGTATTTTCTGTCTCCCTAATGAACAGGCACCTTGGCAGGGATCCTGAGACCAAACATGTGTGAGAGTCCTTGACCTCCGTCGACCTGTGTTTTTATAGCTTGAGATGTTTTCTCCCCGACACAGATGCCCAGGGGGCTGTTACCCTTCGCTCCCCGAGCTGCCACTGCCCTTCGGGGAAGCGGGTGTCAGGGGGAGGCGTCTGGGTGGCCTCCCCGCCCCCACCACTGGGGCGCCGCCGGGTCAGGGAGCAGCGCGGGCCCTGCGTCCCGTGTCCCCACGGCGTTGCCGGGGACCTGCAGGTGCCCGTTGGGGTGGGAGTCCCAGGTGAGTCATCTGCAGTGTCTTCCTCGGCCGCATCTGGGAGACGCTTCGGTGCACGGACCTGTTTGTGCGACGTGTCCGCGCCGTGGTAGCTGCGGTCCTTCCCGGGAGTTAATAAGTAAATGTTCCCCCAGGTGTTTGCTTTTCCCAGGGACCTGCCGGTCCAGGTGCTCAGGCCCCTTGGGAAGGTCCAGACCCCCCCCCCCTCAGGTCTCACGCTCCCAGGGCGGGTCGGAAGGAACCGGGTGCAGTTGGCCAGCTTCTCTGCCGTTGGACGCAGTCCTGGTACCGAGCCTCGTGCCCCAGGCCGATGCGGGGGCCAGGGCGGGGTCCTCCTGGCTGGGCCGCGTGCCATGAGCTGTCTGGGTGGCGGGGGCGGGGGGCACAGGGCCCTGCCTTCGCTGTCAGTTTTGTTTCTGGAGTTGAGTTTGATGTCACCCTCAACATTCTCAGAGGCCCCCCCAGGTCACGGCTGTAGACGTGGTACGTGGCCTGCAGGGCCGTCGAAACCCATCCCCAACCTCTGGGCACCAGGTGTGTGCCCAGCTGTGTGCCCAGAGCCTGGCCTGCTGGGAGCCATCTGCAGGGCCGTCACCGGGGCCCCCCAGGGCCGTCACCGGGGCCCCCCAGGGCCGTCACCGGGGCCCCCCAGGGCCGTCACAGGGCCGTCACTGGGGCCCCCGCAGGGCCGTCACCGGGGCCCCGCAGGGCTGCCACAGGCCGTGGTCTGGCCCCTTTGCCTCGGCTCCCAGCCCGCCCCTCTTCCAGCTTCTGCAGGCTCTGGGGGCTCTGGGGGCTTCCCGCGGTGTCTGCTCCAGGCTGGGCTCTGCTGGGGGCTCCGCTGGGGGCTCCCCACGCGCCCCGATTTCAGATGCTGACACTGAGGCCTCGGGCTTTCTGGGGCCACGCGTCCTGCAGGGAACGCTGGCGGGCGGTGGGTGGGCTGCCGGGACCACCCCTCAGGGGCCACACCTGCCTCCGCCTGGCCCCCGTACACCCCTCGGCGGTTGCTCCTTGTTGGAGGGGCCCCGGCCAGGAGTGGGAGTCCCTCTGTGTCCTGGGGGGCACAGGCAGGGGTGAGGAGGGAGGGGGGAGGGGTAGAGAGGGGGTGCTCACTCAGAGGGGGACACTGCACCTCACCTGCTGTCCAGGGCCCCGGGACACAGGGCCCTCTCCCCCGGGACACGGGGCCCTCGCCCCCGGGACACAGGGCCCTCGCCCCCGGGACAGAGGGCCCTCGCCCCCAGGACGTGGCCCTCGCCCCGGGAAGGCTGGTTGGTCTCAGTGTCCTGCCGCCCGTCCGTCACAGTTCCAGCCACGTCTCGGCCGGAAGAGCCCTGGAGCGGGATGGTCACTGCAGCCCCGGGAGCTGTGCCGGCCTCCAGGCCACCAAGTCCGGGCCCCCGACCCCGCAGTGCTGGCTCCCAGGGGCCTGGCCTCGCGCCCGGTGAGGAGCCTGGACAGGTGGAAACGATCGTACAGACATAACCGCGTAATAATACGTATGGTTTACATTTACGTTTATGTTACACCGTCTCGTAACCGCTCACAGAGTCACACTGTCCCAACACCATGGCGACGTGCGGTTGTCTCTGTTGTCATCACATCTGTATCGCGCAGGGCGGGGCACAGGGCTGGACACAGGGCTGGACACTGATCACCCGGGCAGGTCTCCACGCCCTCGGTGGGGCGTCACCATGGGGTGCAGCCCTGGAGACCCGCTCAGATGGACCCGGCAGGCCCGACCTGAGCCCCACGCTCCTCTAGCAGGCCCTGCACCCCGGGCTGGGGACCGGGGAGCCTTTGCCTGTGAACACAGGATTCCCCGTCGGCTCTGACCTTGTAGGTCACAGTTACACTGGGGTGACTTCGGTGTTGTTATTTAGGGAAGATGAGTGTCCGGGGAGACTGGGTGATCTGTTAGAGGAGGCGAACCGGCCGTGACCCCCGGGCTGGTGGGAAGGGAGTTGGAGAAGGGCAGAGCAGGGAGACGAGGGAGCACCCCGGATCTCCCTGTGTCCTCACCTTGCTGGGCCCCGCCCGGAGCTGGGTGCCAGGCACCCTCCGCGTGCTCCCTGACAGCTGTGCCCACGCGGAGTCGGCACCACGACCTGGGCCTTTGCCTTTGATCGGAAGGAGGCTGCACCCCCAGCTCCATGAACTATTGGGGGCCCCGAGGCCCCAGCTTCAGCCTGCCGGGGATGTTGGGCTCTGCTCCGCCTGGGCCTGGGCGTGGCCCTGCCTCCTGGTCTCCTCTCGCCCGATCTGCTGTCGCTGCGGAGGGGTCATCGCGGCATGAACTTGTGACTGGCATGGCGTTTCTCCCCAGTGGCCCTTGGTTGGTCCCCGCACCCTGCATTCTGGCCTCGGCTAAGGAGGCCCTTTGGGTGCCGTTTCCAGACTGGCCGGGCCCTTGTGGACCTGGGCTCGCGCTCGGGCTCCGGGGGCAGCGGGGTACCGTGCTGTCACCGCCTTCCAGACCTGCCGCTCCCCCAGGCGGCTCCGCTGGTGGTCACCCCAGCAGGGGCAGACCGTGGAACGGTGCCATCGATGCAGCGCCGGGGCCACGGCCAGGCCCCCCTTCTTCAGTGTGCCCTCTCCCCCAGGCGCAGGGCAGCCATGCCACGCAGTCCCACCTCCAGCGAGGACGAGATGGCCCAGAGCTTCTCCGACTACTCCGTGGGGTCCGAGTCGGACAGCTCCAAGGAGGAGACCATCTACGACACCATCCGGGCCACCGCGGTGAAGCCCCGCAGCGTCGCCACGGAGGAGGACCAGGGCCACTCGCTGGTCATCCGCATCCTCATCCAGGACCTGCAGCAGACGGTGAGCCCGCTCGTGCCTGGGCGGCGGCGGGTGGGGCGGGAGCTGGAGGTGCCCCCGTCCCTCCGCGTGGCAGGTGCTCCCCCCAGGCCTCTGCCCGCCCCCCGCCAGTGCCCGGCCCTCGCCCGTCGTGGTCATTGCGCACCTGCTCTGTGCCAGGATGGAGGCCGAGCCTGGAGGGCACAGAGACCACCTTGCAGAGGAGACTCGCACGGGGAGCTGTTAGCGGGCGAGGCTGCGGGTGCCCGGTGGGCTCTGCTCAGTGCTGCACCGAGCCCCCATCCCGTGCTCTTCCCCACGTCCTAGGTGTCCAAGCTCTGTGGGGGGTGCCCCCAGCCCTGCCCACCGGCCACTCCTGGTGGTCCCCCGAGGCCTGGGCCCGGTGCCCTGTCCTGTGTCAACCCTGCTGCCCATTAGCGGGGTGCCAGTGGGTCCTTGATGACGAGACCACCTCCCCCTGTAGCAACCCTCGTGGGGTCCCGGCAGGGTTGGGGTCGTGGCTCAGCGCAGTGGTCTGAATAGATCACCGAACACCAGTGGGCGGCTCGCTGCTCGCTGTGGTCCCCCGCCCCTCCCTCCCAGGCGCCCTGAGACCCCCTTCCTGAGAACGCACTTAGTGTGCCATCTCCTCCCCCGTTCCCGGGCGGTTCTTCCCTGGGCAAGTCCGGCCGGCCGGCCTGAGGAAGCGGGTGGCTGCCCGAGCAGAACACAGCCCAGGTCCTCTCCCCCGGCTCCCGCGAGGGGCTGAACTTGGGGCTGAACTCGGGGCCTGTTCCTGGTGGTGGCCTTCTGGGTCGGGGCGCCAGGCCACGCTTGGGGGTGTCGCCATGGCGTTGCCCTGTGGTCCTGTCCACCTCCACCTGCTCCACAACCAGAGTGTCTGATGAGCCACAGATGGTGATGGGGGGGTTCATACGTGGTCCAGCCAAGGTGTGAACCTTGGGTGATAGTGTTGGAGTGGTGGGTGGTGGGGTCCTGGGGCAGGGGTGATGGAGTGGGGATGATGGGGTGTTGGGTAGGGGTGGTTGGTGGCTGATGGCTGATGGAGTGTGGACGATGGGGTGTTGGGTAGGGGTGGTTGGTGGCTGATGGCTGATGGAGTGTGGACGATGGGGTGTTGGGTAGGGGTGGTTGGTGGCTGATGGCTGATGGAGTGTGGACGATGGGGTGTTGGGTAGGGGTGGCTGGTGGCTGATGGAGTGTGGACGATGGGGTGTTGGGTAGGGGTGGTTGGTGGCTGATGGGTGATGGAGTGTGGACGGTGGGGTGTTGGGTAGGGGTGGTTGGTGGCTGATGGGTGATGGAGTGTGGACGGTGGGGTGTTGGGTAGGGGTGGTTGGTGGCTGGTGGCTGATGGAGTGTGGATGATGGGGTGTTGGGTAGGGGTGGTTGGTGGCTGATGGGTGATGGAGTGTGGACGGTGGGGTGTTGGGTAGGGGTGGTTGGTGGCTGATGGGTGATGGGTGGCCCATGACGGAGGCGAGGGGGGGGTCTCTGTGGGGCTGTCAGATGCTCAGCTCTTAAGTCCTCCAAGGCCCGCGGTGCAGCTGGAGTGACTGAGCTTGGGGCCAGGGAACGGGAGGTCTGAGCTGCGGACAGCCGGCCTCTGCGCCGTGGTGGGGCTCAGACGGCTTCTGACTGCACAGGGAAGCCTCCAGGACTTCCGCCCAGGTGCCAGGTCTTCATCATACGAGAAAGGGTTTGCCTGTCTTCTGGTGCTCCCGGACGGACGTGCTCCTTCCCACCGGACGGCGCCACAGTCCCCAGGAGGGTGGTTGCACGCTCTGTGCCAGGGGTGTGACCAGGTGCTAGGTCACGGAGCACCCCTCGAGCGTCGAACAGGTGAGGGAGCGGAGGTCTGGGGGCACTCGTGGCCGGGGCTCCTCCCTGCTGTGGGTCCCTTCCAGCTGGGCCTCGAGGGACAGGCTGGGTTTGCTGGGGGCACGGCAGGAAGGGGCACACGCCCTGGTCAGAGGCAGCCCCTGGCACAGCTGGGAAACGGGCCGGGTGGGGGCGGGGCCTGGGGCTGAGCTCCAGGGCAGCGCTCTGTCCAGTCGACTAGCGGAGGCTGGTCTGAGGCACACGAGAGGCTAGGACGGGTCCAGGGCCCCGGGCGAGACTCCAGGATGCCGGGCTGAGAGGCCAGAGCCCCAGGGCGTGGGGACCTCGTCTCCCCGGGTCCAGGTGACCTGAGTCTCGGGGGACGGCATTTCTCCCACATGCCTGTGGGCGGAGTGGGCTCCCCTTTGGGGTGAGCCCTGCATCCCCTCCATCTGTTCTTCCTGGGTGCTGCTGGGCCCCCTCCTCCCTTCAGAGCTGAGTTACAGGGAGTGGGGGAGGTGGGGCTGGACCCTGAAGGGGTGTCCACAGGGTGGTGCGGGCGGATGGTGCGGGTGGGGTGCAGCAGACGCCCCCATGGCGCTCAGGGTCACAAAATCTCCTGGCTGAGGCTGAACAGGGAAGGGGCCGGGCGCCCATCAGACCCTCGGAGGCAAGTCCCGCAGCGCCACCTGCCGGCCATGCGGTGCTGGTGCCATTACCCGGCTGGCCCTGCTGGCCCCTCCAGGGCCCAGTCTGAGGAGGTGGTGCAGACCTCCTAGGAGGGCACCCTGCTCTCCCTGGGCTGAGGGTGCCACCCTGCGAGTCTGCCGTCTGCGGGCAAGGTCCGCCCGATGGCCCTGCCTTCCAGAGCTAATCGGCAGCAGGGCCACCGGGGCCACTCAGATGTGGCTTCTCGGGAGTGTGCGGGTTTTCTCTTCCACGCCCTTCGACGTCTTTTATAAAAAGCCATGTGACTGCCACCAGGGCGGGCCTCACGCGTCTCTGCAAAGGTTGCGGGTCTTGGGTGGGGCGTGTCCCATGGAAATCGGGGCTCTGCGTCCACGGCCGCCGCCGCCGATCGAATATGAAGGCGACGCTGAGCCCGGCTGGTTGTTTTCCCACGAGACCGCCGGCTTCCCAGGACATCTGGGCCTCGAGAGAGGGTTTGGGAACCCGGCCGCGGGGGCCTCTGCTTCTGGTGGACGGTGTCCTCCTCTCCACCGACACCTTCTCAGTGGAAGCTCAGGGCCCCCGCCCACCGCCCCGTCCTCTCTCTGACCCGCCCAGCCTGGCCCCTGGCGCGCGGCGTGTGGGCCCCTCAGGAAAGCCAGGTACCACTTACAGGCCCTGAAATCCACTCGTTTTAAGGACGATGTTCGGTGACTCTCTGTGGGTTTGCTGAGTGGGCTGCCCTCATTGCCACCGGATCTGGAAACTTCCATCGCCCCGAATGCAGTCCATCCTGGCCCCTGCCTCCAGCCTCGAAGGCCCTGGGCCTGCGGTCGGCCCTGTGGTGTCCCCTCGGGACGCTGTCCGCGAGGGACCTTGCTGTCTGGCCTCTTCCACTCAGGACAGTGGCATCTGTCCCTGCTGTGTTCCTGCTTACTGCCAGGTGGTGTTTTGTCACTCGGGTGGACACGCTGTGAAATCACCCCCGTTCCGGGCCAGCTGGGTTGCTCCCACTTTTGGGCCGCGAACCCTCTGATTCCGCTGTCTCAGCCGGAACGCAGGCACCGTCCGAGCGTCCCGTCACCCCGGCCGCCAGGAGCACCCCAGGTCCTGTCCCTTTGCACCTGCCGTTCTCTCCTGTTATCTCCACGTGGTGGGGACCCTCCGAGTCCTTAGTCCCCTGAGGATCAAGCTCACAGGCGTGGCCGTCCCTCCCCGGGGACACCCTCCGTCGCGGGGCCTCGCCTCCCGCGCCCTCCACAGCTGTGACTTCACGGCGGGCTCCGGGGTGACTGCGGGCGGAGTCTCTCTCCACGGGGCCTGCGGCTGTGTGGCCGTCTCAGTGCCCAGTGGCTGAGCGAGGGGATGAATTCGTCCACAGCCTCACCTCCACAGGGCCAGGGTGACGTCTGAGCTGAACCCTCCATGATGAGAGTGGGCTCGGCGAAGTGCCACCGGGCAGAGGTTCCGCGGGGCCTGTGGGCGTCGCAGCAGCAGAGACCCCGGCTGGAGGGAGGTTCGAGGGCCCTGCAGGGGTCCAGGGCGGCGCTGTGGTGGCAGGAGCTGGGGGGCCCCGGGCGGGTTCCGATGACCAGGGCCAGGAGGCTGGAGGGTCCTTCACCGGGACGTAGGAACAGCGTGTGAGGCCGCGTCACTGTGGTCCCAGCACAGGGACCAAAACAGGTTTGACTTGTTTACTTTTGTTGTTGTTGTTAACCCTCACGGGAGGGTGTTTTTCCACCGATATTTTCAGAGAGAGAGGAAGGGAGGGAGGGAGGAAGAGAGAGATCGATGTGAGAGAGAGACATTGATTGACTGCCTCCCACATGCGTCCCGACCGGGGCTGGGGATCGAACCTGCAACCCAGGTACATGCCCTTGAACAGGAATCAAACCCGGGTCTCTATGGACCACAGGCTGACGCTCTTAACTGCTGAGCCAAACCGGCCAGGGCCGCTGTGGGCATTGTTGTCCACCTTTTCCGCATGGCACGTGGGTGGTCTTTCACCTCCGCACACGTGGCCTGGGGCTGGTTTGCCCATGGTTCTGTGGTTCCTAGCATCCCCGCTCCCTCCCTGCCTAACCCTCCCTCCCTGAGGCTACTGTGAAGAGGGGTGCAGCCCGTGGCCGCCGTGAAGAGGGGTGCGGCCCATGGTGCCGTGAAGAGGGGTGCGGCCCGTGGTGCCGTGAAGAGGGGTGCGGCCCGTGGCCGCCGTGAAGAGGGGTGCGGCCCGTGGCCGCCGTGAAGAGGGGTGCGGCCCGTGGCCGCCGTGAAGAGGGGTGCGGCCCGTGGTGCTGTGAAGAGGGGTGCAGCCCGTGGTGCTGTGAAGGGGGGGCCGCGGCACACACCACAGCTTATTCCCTCCCAGTCGGAGGCTGGGCGCGGGGACCAGGCTGGTCTATGGAGGGCAGTGAGGGACAGTCTGCCCCCGGCCTCCTCGACTTCTGGTGGTTTCTGGGGTTCCTCGGCTCGGAGAAGCATCACCCCACCTCTGCCTTCATGACCTTCTCCCTGGGGTGTCCGTGTCCACGGTTCCCCTTTGTGAAGGACACAGTCGCGTTGGATGAGGGCCCCCCGCTGACCCAGCTACGTCCACAGCAAAGAGCCTGTTTCACATCAGTCGATTCCCAGGTAGAGGGGGTGGGACTCACTGTCTTTGGGGGGACACAGCCCAGCCGCAGGGATTGTCCTCTTCACGTCCCCTTTGTCCTCACGCCCGCCTGCAAGCTTCGTGGGGGCCCTGATGTTCCTCGCGGAGACTGGGGTGCGGGGTTGGTAGGTCTGCCTAGTCGCGAGGTTAGGGGGGCAGTGGGGGCGCAAACCCAAGCCCGTCTCACCCCTGAGCTCCTGCTCCTTCTAGAAACTTCTCAAGGGAGCCTCTTGGTGTGTTTTGGAGCAGGACGTCGCTTCGTTGCGGAGGGCTGGCCGCTCAGGCAGGACACCAGTCCCCGGGACCATCCAGAGCCACACATGTCCCGGGAGGCTGCTCCCAGCATGCCCCGCTCGGACTCCTGTTGGGGGCCCTTAATGCAGCCGCAGGTGGGGAGCCCCTGGCCTTCCTCTTGCTGGTCCCTGAGGGAACTTGACGGGGCGTCCGTGTTGCTGGAACTGGAGGCCGCAGGGGCCCCATTGGTCACAGTCGACAGGGCCCTCTGGTCGTGCCGGTGAGGACGGACGGGCTGCGGCTGCCGGTCAGGGAAGTAAACCGGCTGCCACCAGGCCTGAGCGCTACCCTGAGTCAGCCTCGGACACTGGAGGTGGACAGAGGGAGCGTCCGGCCCCGGGGCTCACGTTCCGGGCGGTGGGCCTCCGCGCCGCCTGCTGACCGAGCTCTGGCTGAGGTGTTTTCCAGCGGGGCGGGGCCGCTGAGGGGGGAGGGCCGTGGCGGGCCGTCTGTGCCCTGGGCACACAGACACCCCTGTGGGAAGGTGGCTCCGGCCTCCCGGTCAGTGCAGCCGTATTTATCCCGTGCTTCAGCTATGGCTCCAGTGTCCCGCGGGTCCGAGGCACAGGCAGCCTCGGATCCGGCCCGGCCTTCGCGGAGGCTCGGGAAGGGACCTGGGACCGGCCACCTGTGGCTCCAGTTGGTGGTGCTGTCGTCCCTGAAAATGCCCGATCAGCTTCAGGCGCCGTCGACACAATGTAACTTTGTAAAAACGTAGCTCACGTGGCAAATGATGCGATTTCCCGTGAGTGCCTCCCCCGTGGTCTGGGAGCGGGGGTGTCGGCGTGTCGGATGCCGTTGCACGGTCAGCGTGGGGTGGCGCCCAGATGCTCGGGCCGTGGACTTTCCCATCGGTGAGGTGACCGGATGGGACATCCACCTGCGTCTGAAACAGCAAAGAGCGTTGGTGTAAACACGAAGTCTCGCTCCACGGTGCTCGAGCCTGGGTCTGCAGGTGCGGTCCCCGGACCAGCCTCCCCTCGAAACCTGGGACCCCACCCAGGTTCTGGGGCCCCGCTGAGTCAGACGCTCTCCTGGGTGGGGAGGGTGGACACTCCAGCATGAACGAGCGCTGGAGTCTGAGGAGCCCCCACGGTGAGAGGGGTGCCCAGGGCACTGGGTGGCCATTGACGACCAGAGATCTGGGTCAACGGTGAGAGTCAGGGCCACCGAAACCAATGTCTCCGTCTCAGCGTCCCCCCTCCACCAGGTGTCTCCGTCCGGCTCGGCCATCTCGGGGCACGGGCCCAGGCGGGCCGCGCAGGGCGCGCGGCGTCACTCACCCAGTCTTTGTCTCCCTCGCAGAAGTGTATTCGCTTTAACCCCGACGCCACGGTGTGGGCCGCAAAGCAGCGCGTCTTGTGCTCGCTGAACCAGAGCCTGAAGGACGTGCTGAACTACGGGCTGTTCCAGCCGGCGAGCAACGGGCGCGTGGGCAAGTTCCTGGACGAGGAGCGGCTGCTGCGGGAGTACCCCCAGCCCGCGGGCGCGGGCGTCCCCTCCCTGGAGGTACGGCGGGGGAGCCCCCCATGTGGCAGGGTTGGTCTGGGCCGTGGCAGGCTTGGCTCAGCAGTTAGTGTCGGCCTGGGGGCCAAAGGGTCTCGGGTTTGATCCTGTCAAGAACACGTGCCTGGGGTGCGGGTTCGATCCCAGGCCGGGTCAGGGTCCTGCAGGAGGCAACCAGTCAACGTGTCTCTCATATCGATGTTTCACTCTCCTTTCTTTCCTTCTTCTCTTTCTAAAAAATCAGTCGAGCCCGACCAGTGTGGCTCAGTGGGTTGAGCATCATCCTGTGGACGGAGAGGTCCCGGTTCGATTCTCGGTCAGGGCACTTGCCCGGGTTGCGGGCTCGATTCCCAGTCGGGGGTGTGCAGGAGGTGGTCGATCGATGTTTCTCTTATCGACGTTTCTCTCTTAAAAAAATCAGTAAGCCCTGGCTGGTTTGGCTCAGCGGTTGGAGCATCAGCCTGTGGACCAGAGAGTCCTGGTTTCGATTCCCTCTAGGGGCACGTACAAAACATAAATGAATAAATAAAAAATTTTAAAAAATCAATAAAAACATATTAAAAAAAATAAAATTAAAAAACCAATGGAAAAATATCCTCAGGTGAGGATTAAAAAATTTTTTTTAAATTAGTTTGGGTCCCGGCCGGTTTGGCTCAGCAGTTGAGCGTCAGCCCATAGACCAAAGAGTTCCGGGTTCGATTCCGGTCAAGGGCATGTACCTCGGTTGCAGTTTGTCCCCAGCCCTGGTCGGGGTCGTGCGGGAGGCAACCAGTTGATGTGTCTCTCTCACATCGATGTTTCCCTTTCTCTCTCCCTCCCACTCTAGCAGAAGATAAATGGAAAAATATCCTCAGGTGACGATTTAAAAGAAATCAGTTTGGGGCCTTGAGGCCGCACCTGATTTTCTGAGAAAGGCTGATGGTGGTGCAGGTCTCAGGCTCTTGTCCCGACTGAGATGTGACAAGGCTGCGGGACAGGGGTCTGGATGTGAGGACACCGGCTCTGGGAGCCCTGGGGCTGCAGAACGGGGCTCGCCTCTGCCTCCCAAGTCCGTCCTCCAGCCCTGGGCGTGGGGCGGCCCGTGGCTGCCCGTGGCGGCCGTGTCCTCAGGGACGTGGCTTTCCCTTCTGATTCCTGCCCCCGGAATGCCCAAGGCTGTCTCAGATCCCCTGGCCTCCGTGGTGCCCTGTGATAGACCAGTCAGGCAGCCTCGACCACGTCCACGTAAAGTGTGACCCGGCCCCTGCCTGTCTGAGCCCCAGTGCACTGTGCCCCAAGGGGACCGGGGGTGTCCCCACGTGGGAGGACAGTCCACAAGCAGTCGGCGATGCAATCACGTCTCCTCCCGCAATTACCTCGCTGGTGGCTGCATTCATTTCAGCTAATATGTGGATTGTCCTGGGTCCATGTGGGGCTGGGATCGGAACAGAGGGTTCAGCTCAGAATCCTGGTGACTCCCAACTGTCAGCGTCCTTCTGGAACCTTCAGGAGCGTCCCCAGCACATCTTACTACAAAAGAGGTCAGGGCACCGGAGAGGCAGCAGGTGCAAGGTGCTGGGGAATTAGACAACCGGCTGTGACATGTGCCTTCCCCTTGGACACTGCTACTGTGTCTCGGCAAAATGGGCTCCTCAGTTCCTGGGATGTAACTTCCAGTTCAGAGGAGACACTGCTACTTGAGGGAATGAATCGTGACTCCAAAGTCCCAGGGGGAGGCGGCAGGTTGGAGAAGAGGAGGCTGCAGGTATGGGAGGGGGAGGCTGCAGGTTGGAGAGGAGGAGGCTGCAGGTGTGGGAGGTGAGGCTGCAGGTTGGAGAGGAGGAGGCTGCAGGTGTGGGAGGTGAGGCTGCAGGTTTGGGAGATGAGGCTGCAGGCGCGGGAGGTGAGGCTGCAGGTGCGGGAGATGAGGCTGCAGGTGCGGGAGGGGGAGGCTGCAGGTGCGGGAGGGGGAGGCTGCAGGTGCGGGAGGGGGAGGCTGCAGGTTGGAGAGGAGGAGGCTGCAGGTGTGGGAGGTGAGGCTGCAGGTTGGAGAGGAGGAGGCTGCAGGTGTGGGAGGTGAGGCTGCAGGTGTGGGAGGTGAGGCTGCAGGTTTGGGAGGTGAGGCTGCAGGTGTGGGAGGTGAGGCTGCAGGTGCGGGAGGGGGAGGCTGCAGGTGTGGGAGGGGGAGGCTGCAGGTGCAGGAGTCGAGGCTTCTCATGAGGCTTTAATAAAAGTTGACGACATAGCCCTGGTCGGTTTGGCTCAGTGGTTAGAGCGTTGGCTTGCGGACCAGAGAGTCCTGGGTTTGGTTCCCGCTGGAGGCACGTACCTCGGTTGCAGTTTGTCCCCGGCCCTGGTTGGGGTCGTGTGGGTGGCAGCCACTCGTTGTGTCTCTCTCATGTCGATGTTTCTCTCTCTCTCGTCCTCTCCCTCCCGCTCTATCTGAAAATAAATGAAAAAGAAAAAGGTTGATGACATGGATGAAGCTTTGGGGCGTGAAGTGGCACCGTCACTTACCCACAATGCCACGCCAATGGCGGGCAGACTGCCATCTGGGATCCCTGGTCACTGATAGTGCTGAGGACAGCCAATAGGGCAGGCGGCCCTGCTCCTCAATGAGGGATCTTGACTGTCTTCTGGGTTGCTTTTTACCCCTTTTCATGGCCTTTCAGCGCAGAATCTCAGCTGTGGTTTTCCTTAGCATGTCCCAGGCCTTATGCTGTGGATGCAAGTCGTTTCTCTACCCTGGAAGGTTTGCTGTGGAGACCCTGCCTCAGGGAACTAGCCGAGGGGAAGGTTGGTCTTCCTCTGAGGAGCCATGTGAAACATTCACACATTGTTCTTTTTTTCCTGTTTCTGTGCCAGTTTCGATACAAGAAGCGGGTGTATAAACAATCCAATCTGGACGAGAAGCAGCTGGCCAAGCTACACACCAAGGTACGTGGGCTTGGCTGCCATCCACACTCCTGTCTGCTGTCTTCATCGTCTGAGGTCAGAGTAGCTCTTCAGACAGAGGGTTCTTCCTGCCTGACTTACCCACACAAATGGTGCCCAAAGGGGTGCCCGCCAGAGCCCCCCCTGAAATACTGAGTTGTCTGCTCTCCTGTAATGACAGTGGGACCCTACTTTAAGCTGGTCTTCCCTGGGTGTTTCTGGGAGGAGGGTGGCTGTTCTGTCTGGGCCATTGCTGCCGAATTAGGCATTAGCACCGAAGTAGGTTTCCACCGCTGTTACTAGAGTGATTGTGTGCTGTCTGCATAAACTTCGGAGGCAAGACACACGTGGTCAGTGGATGAGTGAAGGAAAGAGCTGTGGGCTGTCCCATGGGGTACTCAGCTCCTGGCTGGACACACTGTGAGCGCCTGTTCCCAGAGTGGCCGCACCACTGGGCCACTGTGCTGTGGGTACACCTGCTCTTCATCAGGGATGCTGTGCCTATCTGGGCGGGGGCTGGAGCTGGAATGTGCGGTGGGCACCTTGCTAATGCCAATGTGAGATACCGAGGATGCTCTCTGATGCCCTCCTCTCGGTCCCGCCCCACCCAGAGAGGCTGTGGCATTTTCTGCAGTACACAGGGAAAGCCAGAGTCAGGAGCAGCCTGGACAGCTCCCCTCAGCCAGTCCTGATGCTGTACCATGAGCTCACAGAGGGTGTCCTCAACCATCAGGGTCCCCTTCTTGCTCTTAACCCCCCACTTGTATCAGGCTGGATGCATGGATTTTCAGCGTGTTCAGTGGGCTCTAAGGTGCCCTTATCACCATCTTTTGCTCAAGTTGTTCTGACGCGGCTGGTGGCGGCCCTGTTGCCAGGCTCCCTGCCCTTTGGCACACCCCGCCGTCCTGCGTGCCGATGGCTCTGGTAGAACAGGGTGCTCGGTGCCCTCTGGCGCTGTCCCCAGCCCCAAATGCCCTGCACAGTGGTGTTTAGACCCCAAAGGCTGGGCGCTTCTGGTTTTTCTGATAACACACCCTCGGAACTGTCAGTAAAAATGTGTGTGTGAATCATAAAAATGTTGGTGAGTCGATGGACCTTTGGGCACGAAATCTGCCGATCCTGAGTCGTCCCGGAATGTACGGGAAACGCCGGGTGGAGACCCAGCCCGTGTCCGAGCTGAAGGGTCCGGAGGTGCCAGGGCTGGAGGCCTCTGTCCTGCCCTCGGGCGCGGGGTGGGGAGGAGAGCTGGGCCGGCCGCAGGCACCCAATGGGCAGGCTGTCTGCTTTTCTGCAGGTGAGGCCGGACAAAGCCGGGGACGTGTCCCCGTCCCTTGGTGACCACGGGTCATTTTGATCTCGTGCGATGGGGCTGTTCCCTTCACCCCAAAGCGCTTGGTGCCCAGGCCCCCCTGCTGCTGCCCACATGTGCGTGGGGTTCGCCCAAAGGTGGATCAAATTGGGTGAGCGGCCGCCCTATCGGCTGCCCACCGAGGCTGATGCTTTAGAGTAGGAAATGCGCACTCAGTTCCATGGGCCTCGCTCGTCAGAGCTGGAGTCAGGAGGTCTGGGTGGACCCTGGAAACGGCAGCTTTCACCCCCTGGCGCTCGGCAAGGACAGTGACCGTGAGGATTCGCCCAGGACAGCGACGGCGTGTGTGCCCTGGGTCCAGGCAGAAAGCCGCTGCTCGGCCAGCCCCAGGCCAGCAGTGGGTCCCCTCCAGGGATGGGGTCCCCTCCGTGGAGGAGGCCAGACGGTGCCCCACAAGGGCCCTCCCTGTGGCCCCCACAGACTCTCGTGCAGACATCGTGTATTTCCCTGCAGACCAACCTGAAGAAGTGCATGGACTACATCCAGCACCGCTCGGTGGAGAAGATCGTGAAGATGCTGGACCGCGGCCTGGACCCGAACTTCCATGACCTGGACACTGGAGGTAAGAGCGGCCCGGAGCCCCGCCGAGCTCGGGTGACGCGGCCTTCCCGCGACACGCTCCGCTGGGTTGGAAGGGCGCTGTCACTGCCCCGTGGGCGCTGGGCCAGCCCTTGTCCGCTCCCACAGTGTCTCCAGCTGCCCACAGGTGCCCGGCAGCGGCTCTGTACATACTTGTTGACTAAGTGAATGAGTGAGTGAGTGAGCGCACCAGGGAGCTGTCCCTGCCCCTTGGGAGACATGCACACACCCAAAGGTCCCACCCCTGCTGGAACCCAGATCTCTCCAGTCCTGGGGACAAACCAGCCAGGGGTGCTCAGTGTCACCTCTGTGGACCTTTGGGGCTGGGCCTTCCTCCCCCCCTTTCTTCTCCCTCCCTCCCTCCCTCCCTCCTCCCTCCTCCCTCCTTTCTCCCCTCCTTTCTCCCCTCCTTCCTCCCTCCCTTCTTCCTTCCCTCCTTCCTCCCTTTCCTCCTGTTGTAACCCAGGAGAGTCAACCTCACTCGGACACAAAGTAATTTTGAACATTAGGAGCTTTATTACCTGCGCAGGGACTGCAGCCCTGAGCAGACTTTCAGCCCTTTTATAATCAGGGTTAAACAAGCACTAATTAGCAAGTTTGTAACAGAGAGTTAGCCAGGTGCAGTACATATGTTCTTAACAGTTACAATTTTATGGGGTAAAAGGAAGCTTCAGTTTCTCCTTATTTACAGCTGAAGGATGTTACTTTTCCAATTCCCAGTGGAGGTCAAACTCCGGTTAATTTCTCACGGGGCTAAAGCCGCCTGTAACATTCCCCACTGGTCTTACTACAGAGCAGATCTTTGATTCCTGTTGTTCATCTAATGACAACCTTTGGTAGGCGCTTTCTAAGAACCGAACACTCTCTCTGATGACTCCTGATTATTAGCATAAACACAGCAGGCGCCGCCTAGTGTGCACATAAGAGGTGCTGGAGGAAGAGGTATGGTGGTCGGGTTACGTTTTCCAGGTCGGGGAGTGGTATGCCTGTGGATGTATTAGAGGGTCGTTTCTTCTCCCCGGATCCCAGCCTAAAGCCCAAGTTTCACATCCCCAGGATCTGCAGTAATAGTCGGCCGCTGTTCCACGGGACAGATTTTGGGGTGGGGGTGGGGGGTGAGGACAGGCATAATGTGACATCTACACGTTGTCCTGGCCGTGCCCAGCCAGATAGGATTAGTCCTCCCCTATTTTTATTTCTAGGCTCATGCAGGTGTCATCTCCGAACAGGCGAGCGAGGTCGAAGGAGAGGGTAGGGTCCTCCCCGTATGTCTCATTGGAGGAGATGACAGTTCCATCTGTGGTTCTCGTGATTACCCGTTTGGACTTACTGAATGGGTTGCCTTGGGTGCTTGTTAGGAAGGGGTAGAGGACGAGGAGGAAGCAGAGGGCCTGATTAATTTTAGTTTTAGGGGGTCCTCCTGCCACACCGTCATCCATTTTTCAGGAACTTGGTCGGGGGCAGCTGGTTTTACCTGGGTATGGTGAATCCAGTACCTTTCCCCTGAGACCTTTACAGCAGTTGGAGTAGATAGGATGACTAAGTATGGTCTGTCCCACCGGGGTTCAAGGTTCTCAGGGTGGTGTCTCTTCAGCCAAACCCACTCCCCTGGGTTGCACGTCTGAGTCGGGGATGGCAGAGCTTGTCCTTCAGGTCGTTGAAGGAGCTGTCGAGTCTCGTCTCGAAGGAGTTGAATAGCCTGTAAGGACTTGAAGAGATCTCGGTTATGAAATTCAGCAAGCCGTTCAGAACTAAGCTGAGGTAAAATGGGCGGGGGTCGCCCGAACATAATTTCAAAGGGGTGAGTTTCCTTAGATACGGTGAGCAGCGGGTGCGCCATAGTGCAGAGGGCAAGAGACTTACCCAATTCTCGCTCGTCTCCAAATGTAACTTAGTTAATGTTTCCTTTAGAGTCCTATTCATCCTTTCTACTTGTCCTGAGCTCTGAGGCCTGTAAACACAGTGTAATTTCCAGTCTATCCCTAAGGTCTTTGCTAGTAACTGAGATATTTTGGCCATGAATGCCGGACCGTTGTCGGACCCCAATGCTAGGGGAAGGCCAAATCGAGGGTTGATCCCAGAGCGTAGATGCCTGATGACGATGTGAGCAGAGTCTCTTCTTGTGGGGAAAGCTTCAGTCCATCCTGAATGCTTCAGTCCATCCCGAATAGGTATCAATAAAGACAAGTAGATATTTGTAGTTAACTCTTCCTGGTGCCATGTCAGTGAAGTCTAATTCCCAGTGTTCTCCAGGTTCTCGTCCGTGGTCACAGGTTCCCGAGGCTGGGGGTACGGGGGGGGGGGGGCTGCGTTTACTTTGGCGCAGGCCAAGCATCTAGCAGCAGCTGAATGAGCCATCCAGAGCGGAGGTGAGGGCCCTTTTAAGTTCCTCAAATGCCCTTTGTTCTGTTTCAGTCCAAATAAGTTCAGTGCCCTTCCCCCCGTGCAGGAATACAGTGGTTTTGCTGTTTCCGCAAAGCCTAAAATCCATAGTCAGCAATATCCAGGAGCCCCTAGGATCCCCGTACCTGTCTCCTGGTGGCTGGAGTCTGGAGGACGGCTCGATCCTGCTGTTGGAGAGGGACCTCCTACCTTCCTTTGGTTGGTGTCCTGGGTAGGTTGCCTCCTGCGTACATAGCTGAGCCTTTCTGGCTGACACTCGGTAACCCAGTACCTGCAGCTCCTCCAGGATGGCTCGTGTCCCCTCTGGGCATTCCTACAAGGAAGAGGCTGTGAGAAGGAGTCATCTACATATTGCAAGAGGGTTACCTGCGGGTGGCTTTCTCGGAATCTGAGGAGGTCCCTGCTGAGAGCTTCTTAAATCCTTGTGGCAGGCGGGTCCATGTCAACTGTCCAGAAAACCCCCCCTCAGGATCCGTCCATTCAAAGGCGAAGAGGGGTTGGCTCAGAGGTGATAAAGGCGGGGAGAGGAAGGCATCCTTCAGGTCCAGGACCGTGTAGAAGGTCCTGGGGGGCAGGATGAGGCCCAAAAGGGTGTAAGGATTCGGCACAGTAGGATGTATGGTTTCTATCCGAACATTTACCTCACTAAGTCCAGGGCAGGGCCATAGTCTCCTGTCCCTGGCTTCTTCACAGGTAACAAGGGCGTGTTCCAGGCTGACTGGCAGGACCGGAGCATACCTGCCTGTAGTAGTCTTCTGATGTGCTCAGCAATCCCAACCTCAGCTTTGTGGGGAATCGGACATTGCCGGACCCGTCTGCGGGTAGCTGGACTCAAGAGCTGAACAATTATTGGCGGCTGGTGTGCAGCTAAGCCTGGGTGGTTAGTCTCGGCCCACACACCTGGAATCTCACCCTGCAATTTCCTTGGTAGGTTCTGGTTATTTGGTCCCTCAGGGTCCCCTTCATATAGTATGTATTCCTCTGATATGGTAACTGACACCATAATTGTCTGTGGTGTCTCCCTGTAGTCAGGGTTGATTCTCCATCTGCAGAGGATATGGTGGCCTGTAGCTCCTGCAGCAGGTCCCTTCCAAGGAGAGGGTAGGGGCAGTCTGGCACGACTAGGAAGGAGTGTGTTGTAGTCCCCTCACCTAGGTCAGTGATCCGTGCCCGTGTCCAGGGATAGGGTTTGGGCTTCCCGATGGCTCCTACAATGGAGGTCCGTTCAGAGGAAAGGGGTCCATGGGGCTGTTTGAGTACCGAGTAAGTGGCCCGTGTCGACCAGCAAACCGATCGGTTGGCCCCGAGCTGTCCGAGTCACCGTAGGCTCCTGAGGACCAAGTTTGTAGGAGCCTCGGCCTCTTCATTCTCGGTCCTCGAAGAGGATGCCAGGGGAGTCATGAGCCTGTTCCCTCTCCTCCTTCATGGTCCCCTTGGGGCACTCATTCCTCCAGTGTCCCTTCCTTTACAACAAGCACACTGGTCCTTGTCAAGGGGAGGCCTTCCTTTCTTTTCTTTTGGTTTCCTTGGGGTCCGTTCTTATAGCGACCTGGTGGAGTGATTTTTCCGCCCTGAGCGGCTAGTAGAGTTTTAGTTAGCTGCTTTGTCTGGCCCGTGACGGGATCACCCCTGTTCTGGAAGACACTTAGAGCAATGTCTAACAATTCACTAAGATTCTTTCCTTCAAATCCTTCTATCGTTTATAATTTCTTTCTGATGTCTGGGGCCGACTGGGAGACCAAAGCTGTGTTAACAATACGTTTATCCTCATTTGCTGCTGGGTCCCAGGGAGAAGAGGTCCGGGGGGGCCTCTAAGAGTCTTTCTAGGACGGCGGCCGGAGATTCATCGTGCCCTGTAAAACCTCACGTATCTCACTGAAGTTTGTGGGCTTCTTAGCTGCTGCCCTCAGACCCCTAGGCAGAGGCTGGCGATGTGGCGTAAGGCCTCCTGCCCCGCGTTGGAGTTGGGATCCCAGCTGGGGGGAAGTGTGGGGAGCTGTTCCTCTACTTCTAGGCGGCGCACTTGGGTGTCCCCTTCCTTCCCCCAAAAGGCTTTTCGCCGCTTCCCCATATGTTCTCCCTCTCTCTCCTGACGTAAATAACGTCTGCAAGATCTGTTGACAATCATCCCATGTCGGTTGATGGGCACGGAAAATAGTCTCCACCAAGGAGATTAATTTTTGGGGCTTCTCCGAAAAGGAGGGGTTTTGGTGTTTCCAATTGTATAAATCACTAGTTGACAAAGGGACATAGACACGACGCTGTCCTGGGGGTGCCCCTGGCTGTGGGGCACCTCACTGAGGCAGCATTGGAACCGAGGAGTCTGGGATTCCTTCCCTTTGACTGTAAGGGGTTCCTCCACGGGTCTGCGGGGGACTATCTAAATTTGGGGGAGGGGCCAATCGATGGGTCTCAGGAGGTCCCCGTGGATAAGGGGGAGGGTCTAGTAGCCCCTCGATCGGGTCCTCTGGCAACACCGGACGGCCTGTTCTTAGGGCGGCGGAACTGTCCGGGGTTTTCTGAGCCCTATGAGGGTTGTTCGGAAGGCAAGTTCCCTTTTGGTCTGGGGCGGCTAGCATCATAGCGCGGCCCCCGATTTTGGCTTTCATTTCTTTCCCTTCCATGTTTGGGGGTGCTAGGCACTTTCTTAGATCGCCCGGTTTGTCATGGGCTGTATCTATCCACACATCTATATGTACTTGTTGGTCGGGGTGTGGGACCCTATATTTCATAGCTCTGACAGCAAACAATAGGGAGAGGTCGAATGACCCCTCGGGTGGCCACTCTACGCCAAACGACGGCCATTCTAACTCACACAGGGTCCTGAGGACGCCTGGGCCCCCTGGCTGCCCGTGGTCACAGGAGCTTAGAGAAATCAGAGGAGTCACTCAGCAGGCACTGGAGCGGGGTTCTGGCCTTCGCGTCGGCTCCCCCTCCCGTAGGAAGGAGAAGTAGCCGGCACACGACAGTAACCACACAAGGACGGACAGTAACAGACAGTGAGCGCCCACTTTCATTCATTCACCAGCCGAATCCGCAAGCGGATCCGAAACCATAGGCCGGGACGGCGTCCCGCCTGCCGGGCCCCGATACAGCCCTCGAGGGAACAGCCGAAAGCAGACGGAAAGGGATGGGGTTTCCCTTACCTCCAGCCCCGGGACGGATCCGAAAAGCTCGTAGTCAGATCGAAAGCCGATTTGAGGCGAAGGGTACGGAGGCTTCCTTCCCCTCGTCCGAGGAGGCCTACCCAAAGGGAGGGGACATCATGGTGATCTCGCTGGGGCCTCCAAATGTTGTAACCCCGGAGAGTCACCCTCACTCGGACACAGAGTAATTTTGAATATTTGGAGCTTTATTACCTGCGCAGGGACTGCAGCCCCGAGCAGACTTTCAGCCCTTTTATAATCAGGGTTAAACAAGCACTAATTAGCAGGTTTGTAACAGAGAGTTAGCCAGGTGCAGTACATATGTTCTTAACAGTTACAATTTTATGGGGTAAAAGGAAGCTTCAGTTTCTCCTTATTTACAGCTGAAGGATGTTACTCTTCGAATTCCCAGTGGAGGTCAAACTCCGGTTAATTTCTCACTGGGGCTAAAGCCGCCTGTAACACCTCCCTCCTTTCTCCCTTCCTCCCCCCTCCTCCCTCCTTCCCCCCCGTCCTAACGACTCCAGTGGGCACTGACTTATTTCCTCCCCCCTCCTCGTCCCCTGGTTCTCCCGAGATGAACTGACTGTGACTGTATCGCGGCAGGGGTCTGACGTAGCACCTGCTGGGTGTGTGTTGGGAAGGGACCCCCTGGTTCGTCTGCTTGTTCCCCGTCCCCCGGGGTCAGTTTCTCCCTGTGCGGAGGACCTTCAGGACCTGCCCTCGTAGCCACCAAGGTGCAGGTGACGTCCCAGGACTCACTCCGGGGCTCACTGGACTGTGCTCTCTGAGCCCCTCACCCGCCCCCATCCCCACCTGCCCGGCACCCGCCAGCGTTCATCTGCCTTGTGATTGGCTAAAGTCCATCGCTCCCCGTATGTCACAGTCGTTACTTCCGTCCTTTTCCTGGCCCAGGATCCCGCAGGTCAGCCCTCGTCCTGTCTCCGTCAGCCCCTGGGCTGCGACAGCGTTTGGGCTTTCTCGGGGTTGGCCGACCTTGGCTGTATCGGGGGGACTGCTCATTAGCTTGTAGACTGTCCCCAAGTCGGGCTTTGTCTGCTGTTTCTCTTGTGATCAGCCTGGGGTGCTGGGTTGGGGAGGACCCCAGAGGTGAGCTGCTCCGTCCGCGTGTCGGGCACCTGGACCCTGCTCACCTGGCCGAGTGTTTGCCGGTCCCTCCCATGACGTGCTGCCCTCTGGCACAGCGACCGGGGAGGGGAGCAGAGTCAGTTATTTGCAATTCTTCAAGGGAGATTTCTCTCTTCTCCCCACTTATTTATTCAGTCCCTTTAAAAGAGTCAGTGTAGACGCAGCGATACTTAGCTGATACTTTGGGTCATAATCCAATAAAGCTGCTTCTCTCTGAAGTCCCTGGAGAGGTCCCTGTCCTGGGTTCCCGACGGGCCGTGTGCTGCCCCGTCGCAGACCACCCTACGCCGCGTGAGGTTCTCACCACGGAAAACCAAGGTGCAGCGTGGTCTGTGGCGGATTCCGAACGCTGTCAGGACAGTGCCCATGGGTGGGCGAATCGGTGTAGGGATGGGAAACGGACGATGGATGGTCTAAGCCTTGAATTCAGGGCGCCGCGGCCCGCTCAGTCCTGGGCTGTGCCGAGGGGGAGGGGAGGCATCCTCTCAGTCCTGGGACTGTGCTCGGATGTGCCCCGTGGGAACCATCAGCATCTGGGTGGCGGGACCTCGTGTGGTGCCCTGAGTCCTGCGCACTTTTCCGTGGCACAGAATCCAGTGCCCTTAGCGCCGCCACCGCAGGGCGCCTGGCTGGGTGCGTGTGAAGACGGAGTGGGAGGAGCATGTTTTATAACGAATATTGTCATCTTCTGGGCAGCTGGTGACACTGGTCCAGGGCCATCTGCGCAGGGTCGGGGGCCCTTCCTAGCCCGTGTCATCACAAGGGCGGCCTCACCGCCCCTCTGCGGGGGCCCTTCAGCCCGCCCGGACCAGGCCTCCGCGGGCAGGGCTCCGAGTCTCCCCTCTGCGTCCCGGCAGCCCCTTCCCGCACCTGCCAACCTGCCCGTGGGCGTCCTGAGGTCGGGAGGGAGGATGCCGGCGTCACTTGTCAGAGCTTTGACTCGGGGGGCGGGGACGTCACAGCGGCAGCTCTGTCACTGACCCACCAAGTGACAGCGTGGAGACCCAGCCTCGGTCCCACTTTGACTTGCACGTGGCCCCAGGCGTGACGGCCGTTGTCTCCGGGGTGCTGTTGGTCCGCAGGAGGCCGGGGATGTGGTTCTCCGGGGGCTCCCTGTGGCCTCGGCGAAGTGAGCCCGTGAGCGGGCTGCTCCCCCGGTGCTGGCTCTGAAGTGTGCGTTCGGGTCCCTCAGAGACGCCCCTGACCTTGGCGGCGCAGCTGGACGGCGCGGTGGAGGTGATCAAGGCCCTCAGAAACGGCGGGGCCCACCTGGACTTCCGGGCCAGAGACGGGCTGACCGCCCTGCACAAGGCCGCCCGCGCCCGCAACCAGGCCGCCCTGAAGGTACGTCCTGACGGCCTGCGGGGTCCCCCTCCCCGGGGTCCCTGGGCCTCCCCTCCCCCTGCAGCCACCGCTGCTCCAGCTGGTGCTCGGCAGGGGGCCGGGTTCTCCCACCGTCTCCTGCGGGTTCTGGCTCTGAGGTCAGCCCAGTGCCTGGGGCTCAGTGGATGGAGCCTGTCCCCTGGACTGAGAGGTCCAGGTCCGATTCCCTGCCCGGGTTGTGGGCTCGATCCCCAGTGGGGGCTGTGCAGGAGGCAGCCAATCGATGTTTCTTTCTCTCTAAATAATTTTGAAGAAGAATATGCTGTCCATGGTGCTCGCTCCTCTGTCCCCGTCAAGGCTGGGGTCAGACAGGGGTGCCCTCGCTGACCCTCTGTGGAAGGAGGCTGCACCCCCAGTTGATGGGCATCGAGCCAATCTCGCAGCCCCCACAGCACGGGTCTTGGGGAGCCGATGCCGGGGTGCATTTCACCCCGATGCTGTGCTGGTGCCTGCTGCACCGCTGGGCACTGTGTCTGCAGAGAAGGGCGATGCCACGAGCCCACCCTCCATCCGAGCCCCGGGAGCGGGGGGGGGGGGACCCCAGCTGCAGGCCGCCCTCAAGTCAGTGCTTCTTCCAACGCCATCTTCTCTGCCTCCATCGGGGCACCTCGCAGGGGGTCCTCGGGAACATGTTCACCGCACCCTCGCCAGTGCCCCCCGCAGGGCACACCGAGATGGTTTCCTACTGTGTGTTGCTCTCTGCTGGTGCCCGGGGATCGGAGGATACAGGCAGCTCTGCAGAAGATCGGGCTCGAGTCTGCAGCATCTCCTGACCGCCCTGAGGTCCTTCATGCCGGGAGGCCCAGGGACAGCCCAGGGCCTGAGGGCGGGGTCAGCCTGGCCCAGGGGCGTGGCCCACACGCTTCTTTCTTTCTTTCTTAAAACATTTTTCTTCTTTTTTCCTTTATTGATTTTAGAGAGAAAGGAAGGGAGAGGGAGAGACAGAAACATCGATGAGAGAGAACATGGACTGGCCGCCTCCTGCACGCCCCCCACTGGGGATCGGGCCCACAACTGGAGCACGGGCCCTGCCCGGGAATCGAACCGGCGACCCCTTGGCGCAGGGTCGACGCTCCACCTCGGAGCCACACCGGCCGGCGCTTCTTTCTTGATTGTTTCTGCCTGCGAGGCCGTGAGACCCACACCGGCCTGTGTTCCCTCTAGACCCTGCTGGAGCTGGGCGCGTCCCCGGACTACAAGGACAGCTGCGGCCTCACGCCGCTGTACCACACGGCGGTCGTGGGGGGCGACCCCTCCTGCTGCGAGCTGCTCCTGCACGAGCACGCGGCCGTGTGCTGCAGGGACGACAACGGCTGGCAGGAGATCCACCAGGTGGGTGCCCCGCCGGCCGGGCCCAGGCCTCCGTTCTCCGGAAACGTGCACTTGTCACCAGCGCTGACACCTCTGGGGGCATTTACCCCAGAACACACCTTCCTGATGTCTCTGGACAGATGGGGAGAGTGGGCAGGTCTGCTGGGGTCCTGGGTGAGCGCCCCCTTCCGAGGAGCTCGAGCCCCCCCGAGCCCACCATCCCGGGCGCCCCCGAGACAAGGCACCAGGTGCTTTCCGAGTTCAAGGCCCGAGTCCTGTGCGCACAGTGGGGTGAGGGGCGCGTCAGCCAGTTGTGAGGACCGGAGTCCACCTGAGGGACGTCTTTCCCGGGCAGGGAGAGGAAGTCCTGCCCCTGTGAGGGCTGGAGGAAGCGGGGAGCTGTCGGTCCCTGGGGAGGGACCCAGGGAAACACCCCGCCTCACTCTTCCCCTGCCCTCCTATTGGCTGAGCCCTGCCAGAGCCAGCCAACCAGGGAGCCCAGTGGTGCAGGCCAGGCCTGGAGGTCAGGGTCTCCGGGCGAGGAGGGTGGCCACTGGGCTGGGAGAGCAGACTGGGATCCCACCAGGGTGTCCACGGGCCAGGGCTGGCCATTGGCAGTGCCTGTCATCGATTCCCTGACGACCTGTCGGCTTCCCTCACCACCGTCACCTTACACACCTGCCCCACCTGGGAGGTGTCGTGCACCCCACCCACAGAGGTCAGAGGGCCCAGGGGTGCTGAGTGCAGCAGGTGGGCTGTGGGGTCCAGCTGGGTCATGCTGCCTGGCCTTTCTCGTGCTCGGTCAGTTCTGGTTCAGCAGCACCCCCGTGGCCTGGGGACGCGTCCACACCCCGTGGTGTGAGCGGGGCTCTGCTTAGGGTGATGAATGGCCTTGGGGTCTCAGTTTCCTCACCCGTCCAGGGAGCGTCCGCCGGGCCTCCCACGCCATCTGGCTGTGGACAGGACCGAGCCAGGCGTGTAGTCCAGCAGCGCCTGCAGTTTCTGCGACCCCAGACCTGCCCCTCACGGTCTGGCCCGTGCGTCTCCTGGCCTGTCCCCCCCCACGTTTTCAGTACACACCTGACCAACCCCCAGATGGCTTTCCTGAAACAGGGCTGCGTCCGGCCCCTCCCTGGCTCTGCCCTCAGCCCCCAGCTCTGTGGTCATGACTTGGTCTGAGTCAAACTGGACTCACCTCCTGTTTCCAGACGAGTCTGGCCGCCCAGCTTCCGTCTCGGGCTGAAACCATCGCTTCTCCGGGAGTGTCACCCCCTTGGCCCCTGGGCTCTAGCTCGGCGGTGCATTGGGGAGGGTGACACTCGTGTGTTTGCAAAGTCCGCCCAAGACGGGGCCGTGGCCACCATGAATGTCCTTGCTGTTGGCAGCTTCCGGGCCAGGGAGGAGCTGCTCAGGGGACAGCGGGTCGTAGGGCCCAGACCTTGTCAGTGACCACAGCTCCCGGACTCCGGGGCTTCCCTGGAGGAGGCTGGAAGGAGTCAGCCGGCCCTCAGCTGGGCTGTCAGCTGGCCATGTGGCTGCTGGTGGTGCTATGGGCAGTGGAGGCCCCAGCGGGCACTGCCAGCCAGGACACCGCCGGACCCAGTGGGGCGGCTGGCTTCTCGCACACTGAGCGAAGGAAAAGTGGGGGGCAGCGGGTCGAGTTTCCCACCGAGAGTCCCCTCATCCTGGGTGGTTAGGGCAGGGACCGTGTCTGGGCCCCAGCGTCGGATGGGGGTGGCCGGGGCTCACGCTGCGGGCACAGTCCTAACGCTCTGGGCACCGGCTCACCCCGAGGGGCAGCGCTCCAGGCCAGCGAGGCCCCAGGTGGCAGAGCCCAGAAGGCAGAAAGCGGGACCTGGAGGTGACGCAGCCGCACCCTGGCGGTGTGGCCCTCCGGCTGCCGGCCCGACTTGGATGTTCTCGGCCAGGCCGACCCTTCTCTGCGCCCGGTGGCCTCGCTCTGCAGAACCCCACACTCCTCTCCTGGTCCGTGGGCAGAGGTGGCCGCCTCCCTGGTCTGAGGGACGGCCTTGAGGTGAAGTGACTGGGTTGGGGTGTGGGGTCCTGACCGTCACTTTCTCTGGTGCTGGCTGGTGTTTTGGGTCTTTTCCTGAGACCCCTGGCATGGACTCAGGGCGTCCCAGCGCTGAAGCCACCCAGCCCCTGGGTCCTGGTTCCGGGGCCCCAGCCCCAGCCCCAGCCCCAGCCCCAGCCCCAGCCCCAGCCCTGCATTGGGAGGTTTTCACATCCTGGTGGAGCCTCAGCCCTCGGGATCCATCCAGCGCCCTCTGGTGGTCGGTCTGGGAAAGCCCCCTTTGCTGCAGAGGCACCTCCTTAACCAAGAGAGGGGACCCCCAGGCCAGTCGCTGCCCTGACCCTGCTGTGTCCACCTGCCGCCGGCTTGGTGACGGCCAGTGCAGTGAAGGAGGCCAGGTGCTCACGAGGAACGGCAGGCTGTGCCTCCTCTGAAATGCGCCCCCTCCCGTTGGCGACCAGACACTCTGTGTACCCCGCTCCCACCGGGCAGCAGCCCTCGCAGATGTGCACACGTCTCCATGTCTCCGACGACTTAGCAGGGCCCAGAGAGGGCGGTGAGCGGCCCAAGGCCTCCGGCCTTTCAAACAGAAGCCGCCTCAGTGTGACCACGCACTCCGGGCCGGGGGAAGAGGGGCAGGCAGGATCGGCTGTGCTGGGGTTTCTGGGTTCTGCACTTGGTCTGTCCTTCTGTCTAGCACCCTGGAGTGTGGACAGCTCCTTCCCAGCCACCCGACTCTGCTTCTGTTCTGGGGATCCTGGGTGCCCGCAGCCAGGCCTGCCCACAGGTGTCCCAGGGGGCGGGTCCACTCTCCTGGGCATTGCCCAGGCCGGGGTTTCATGCAAAGGAGACCTCTTTGTTCCAGCCCTTCCAGGCGATCAGTCGAGGGTGCCCCCTGCAGGCCGACTCGGGAAGAGCGTGTTTTTGAGCTCATGTCTGTGAAGGATCTTGAAAGTTGTTACTCAGATTACCTTAGTGTTTTCTCGTGATTGCAAAAGAAATACCTGTTCAGCATGGAGATCTTTCAAAAAACAAAGACATATAAAGAAGGAAGTAAAAAACACCCCAATACTTCCCTGCAACCCAAGAACTTTGAGGGTCACCTGGCCATGTTAATTGCTCAGTCCCTGACCCAGCTCCCCCTGAGGGTCGGCGGCGGGTCTGGCTGTGTCGGGACTCCAGGGGCTCTGCAGTGAGCGGTCAGCTGCTCGGAAGGGGCCGGTCCTTGTTTCCAGGTCCAGGCGGCGAGTCGCACTCCCTACCTCCCTCTGAGAGTGTCTGACTCGGGGGTCAGCGAGAGGGTGCTCTGGCCTGGCTGTTGTGTAGCTCAGGTTGAAACTTCCTCTAGCGTTGCCTGGGGCACCTGAAGAGGGACTTGCCCTCCCCGAGCTTGTTTGCTGATCTCCAGTCAGTTGTTACAATTCAGAGCTCTCAGCACAGTTCACTGGGAATTCATTGAAACACTTGGCACCTAGGAAGCGCCCAGTGAGTCCTGGCCACGCCCATCGCTGTCTACATCACCCCTGGCCACGCCCACCGATGCCTTCATCACCTCTGGCCACACCCACTGCTGCCTGCATCACCTCTGGCCACGCCCATCTGTCATAATCACCCTCTGACCACACCCATTACTGTCATTGTCATCATTATTATTCAGCCATGCCCATCACTGTCTTCATCACCCTCTGGCCACGCCCATCACGGGCATCCATTGGCCACACCCATCACTGTCATGCTCCTCTGGCCACGCCCATCACTGTCATGGCCCATCACTGTCATCCTTACCCTCTGGCCATGCCCATCACTGTCATCCTCACCCTCTGGCCACCCCCATCAATGTCTTCATCACCCTCTGGCCACGCCCATCGCTGTCATTCTCATAGGTCCAGGTCTGGTTCTGTCCTAGGAAATGACCTCAAACAATCCAAGGCATTGACCAGTTTGCTCACAGGCCTTCATACAGATCTCATCTGATGTCTGCAACTGTTCCTGAAGGACGTCTATCTTCTGGTTGTTGATTATAGTTTTTTTTCCTCTATTGATTTTAGAAAGAGAGGAAGGGAGAGGGAGAAAGAGAGAGAAGCATCGATGAGCAAGAACATCGACTGGCCGCCTCCTGCATGCCCTCCACTGGGGATCGGGCCCACAACCTGGGCATGTGCCCTGACCAGGAATTGAACTGGCGACCTCTTGGTGCAGGGTCGACGCTCAACCACTGAGCCACACCGGCCAGGCTGCTTATCATTTTTATTGAAGAGTTTTTTTTGCTGATCCTCACCTGAGGATATTTTTCCATTGACCTTTTTTAGATAGAGTGACAAGGAGGGAGGAGAGAGAAACATCATTGTGAGACACATCCATCGGTTGTCTCCTGCACGACCTTGACCAGGGCCAGGGATTGAGCCCAAAGCCCATGTATGTGCCCTTGACTGGGGATCGGGCCTGAGACCCTTCAGTCCGTGGGCCTACGCTCCAGCCGCTGAACCTGCTGGGCCGGGCAAGGACTTTGGACTTGAGAGAAATTACGCAGGTTTCACCGCAGCTCCTCCCTCGCTCCCTCCCCAGGACCCCACCCCCTCCGCCCTGGGCTCCCGTCTCCAGAGCTCCCGGAGCCCTAGGGACTGGCTGGCTCCCTGCTGGGCTCCCAGGCCCCGTGTGGGAGCAGGGCGGCCAGCGGGCAGCCCAGGAGGACAGGGCTGTGTGTGTCCCTGGCTTGGCTGAGCGAGTGAGCTTTGGCACCACGTAGCCTCTGCCCACCACGCTTTAGGTTGGGGTTTCCCTGGTGGCCGGGGTGCCCACTGTGTCCACGGCTGAGCGGCCCCGGTTGACCTGGCTTGGACGGAGAGCCCCCGAGAGCCCTCGGCAGTGCCTAGCTGTAACCAGAGCAGGGGGAGGGCTTTGTGGGGAGCGGGGCACGCAGCTGGCTGCAGTATGGGTGGACGCCCCTCAGGTTTCTGGCCTCCCGGGGTGGGAGCCTCATGCTCAGGCCGGAGGTGGCCCTCTGGAGGCCCGGTCCATGGCCGCTGGCCTGATGACCCGCAGTGGGTGCGGAGGTAACGGCCATCTGTACCTTTCCAAATGAGGTCCCCGGGCCCGGGGCCCCGGCCACTGGTGGGAGGGCCAGAGCTTGGGAGCACCCCTCCCTGGCTCCTTTGCTGCGCTGTTGCACCCCACTCCTCCAGGGGCTGAGCCCCAAGGCCCAGCGGTGGGAGCTGCAGGGAGGTACCAAGCCCTGCTTTTGGGGTCTGCGCCTCACTGGCCTGGGAGGTCATCCCTGTCCCGTTCCCCACCTGCCCAGCCCCAAGCTGCCCTGAGAGAAACGGGGTTTGCCTTGGGCCTCCAGCGGGATTGAGGGCCACCAAGCAGCCCTGGCTGGGGGCCCAGGGAGAGGGGGTGCCGAGAGGAGGGGGTGAAGGCCCCGAGACCCAGATGGCAGAGCCGCCACCCTCTGCCGTGTCACAGCCGTGTTCCGTGGGAACGGCTGACCCAGGACCGCTCGTGTCCGGGAGTCACGCTGCGCAGGGCACGGGGGCAGGGCCAGGGCCTGGGATGCCAGGGGGCTCCCCTCTCGGGGTTCTTACGGTGACGCCTCTCAGGCCGAACCTCACAAACTGGTTGACCTGTGACATGGTCCCACAGACGGGCGGCTTAACAACAGACGCTGTCCCGTCCTGGAGTCCGAGGTCCAGGGGCCGCAGGGCTGGCTCCTCCCAGGCCTCTCTCCTTGGAGTCAGACGGCCGCCTTCTCCCCGGTCCCCCAGGGTCGTCTCTGTGTCTGTGTCCTGACCTCTTTTTTTTTATCCTCATCTGAGGACATTTTTCCATATTTTGTTCAGATAGAGCGGGAGGGGAAGAGAGAGAGAGAAACATCGACGTGAAAGGGACACATCGAGTGGCTGCCACCCGCATGACCAACCAGGGCCGGGGACAAACTGCAACCGAGGTACCTGCCCTCAGCAAGAACCGAACCCGGGTCTCTCAGGACCGCAGGCGGATGCTCTAACCGCTGAGCCAAACTGGCCAGGGCCACCTCTTCTAATAAGGACCCCAGACACATTGGATTAGGCCCACCCCCAGGACCTCATTTGACCTCAATCACCTCTTTAAAACACAGTCACATTCTGTGGTATGGGGGGGGTCAGGGTGCCCGGCTGCGCTGACTGGCGCCCTTCGGGAGAGTGGGTTAGCCGGGGCTCCGCGGTGAGGAGCAAGCGCCCCGCTCAGGGGGTTAAGGGGAAATAAAGTCACGCTCAGTCTTTGTGTCTGAGAAAACCCAGGCGTTGCTGTAGCTCGAGGGCTGGAACACTGTCGTCTCGACTGTGTGCGTGTCTGTCTCTGTCTCTCTGTCTCTCTGCCCCCCCCCCCCACTTTGCTCCCATGTAGTGACACCCCAGCAGCTCTGGGTTCTGTCATTTTCCTTCCGGCTGGAAGAAGGGAGGGACTTTGCTTTCTTCATTGTTCTGACAAATGTGCCAGCCTGGGGTCTTCCTGGGCCCTCTGGGGTCCCGGGGCACCCCCAGAGCAGCCTTATCCTCAGGCTGCGGTAAGAGGATCCAGGAATCGGGATCCCGTGGTCCCCGAGGAGAATGCAGCCGCCGCTGCACAAGGGGGCACGTGGGGGCTGGGCAGGTCCACCCGACGTCATCCTCCGCCCCAACGCCTCACTTACTGAGACCACTCTGCCACAGGCCGCGATATGTGGGTGCCCCTCGGGGTTTTAAAAACGACCCCACCTGGGAGTTTCAGCGTCTCCGCACCATCCTCCCTCCCCAGCTGGAGGACGTAGCTCTTCCTCGTGGGCCCTGCAAAGGTGGACGTCCCTCCGTCTGCTGTGCAGCCCGGCCCCCGCCCCCCGCCACGTGTCCCCCACGGCAGCCTGACTGTCCCTCCCGCCCGGGGCCTTCGTCACTGTCCATGTCGGAAGCGTTGGGTCAGGACCCTGTTTCCTGGCCTCCTCATCTCCTTGTCCAGGTGGTCACCGACATGGGGACGGGGGTGTCATGCCATTGGTGTCGCCCGTCACTGGCTGGCCTTCCTGAGGTGCCCAGGAGTGCGGGTGGATGGGGCTGGGAGGCAGACGGATGCACCTTGCTGCCCAGGGCCGCGCCGTGCCCTGGACCCCCTGCCTGGGCGGGGCAGCAGCCTGTCACTGTGTGAACTGAGTGGGAGGGGCCGGCCCTGCGCTGAGCACCACCCGAACCCCCGGGGTTCCTGACACCACGAGAGGCTCACGGAATCCCGCGAGAAGTGGGTTCTCCTTACCCGTGAACTGTGGGTGCACCGAGAGTCCCGGGGCGCCGGTGCAGGTCGCTCGGCCCAGTGGTTCACAAATCACACCGTCTGCCCTAGCCGGCCCCCAGGGGGGAGATGCTGGGGCTGCCTGCCTGCCTCGGCTGGGGTGCACTTCGAAGTGCCGGCCGCCCCAGCCCCGGCAGGACAGGTGGGCGTCTCTCCTGGACACAGCAGAGCGCGTACCCGCTTTTCTGTTTCATACCGCTCCCCGGGTGGGGTGGGGGAGCTCGGACCAGCCGGGCAGGTGTGGAGACTCCAGGTTGGCATTTCGTGGGCTGGCTGCTGAGACTGGGCACAGATGGGTGGTTCCCCGGGCTCTGGGCCGACGGGCAGGAAGGTGGGGGCCCCTGCAGACCCCGCTGCACAGCCAAGTACAAGTCCCACGCACCTTCTCCCCAGCCCCCTGAGGCTCGGGCGTGGGGGGTGCTGATGTGTTGGGGCCCCGGTGCAGAAGCGGGGAGGGCTGGTCTGCGCCCTGTGGGTGGCCCCGAGGGGTGCCCGGTCACAGCGTGGACTCCCTTGCAGGCCTGCAGGTACGGACACGTGCAGCACCTGGAGCACCTGCTGTTCTACGGGGCCGACATGGGGGCCCAGAACGCCTCGGGGAACACCGCCCTGCACATCTGCGCCCTCTACAACCAGGTCAGTGAGAGCGCCCGCGGGGCGCCCCCCCCCCCCCGCCTGGCCGCGCGGGTGGAGGGGAGCGGGCACGGGTTCCGTGAGGTGGATGCTGTACGGAGCGGAGTGGGGGTGCGGGCCTCTCTGCCTGGAGGAACAGAGGGCAGATCACCGGTTAGGGTGACCGCTGGGGGCCCCCGAGGTTTGTGCCGCTGCATGTCCTCTCCCCATCAGCGTTATCTTCGCAGTCCGAAGCAATGCTCTGTCTTCTGGGTGGTATCCCCAGCCTTTGATGACACCCCAGTCCTTCCCCAGTTCCTGGCCACCCCCCAGCCCGGCCCCTCCAGCCACTTTGGAATCCCACGTTGCTTCTTGCTATTAAACCCTGGAAAACTCCTACACACCCTCCAAGACCCATTTCAGATAGCCCGCCCTCACATAAGCCTTCCCTTGATGAGTCCCTCATAGGGTTAGCTCTGTTGCTAGCTGTGCTGTGCTTTGCAAGACCGTCAGGGTGGGTGGCCCAAGAGCAGGCCACTGTGACTTACCTGTGCTGTCTGCTGGCATCCCCTCTGCCTTGAGTCTCTTCTCAGGGTATGAACAGCCTTGGCTCATGGTCTGCACACTGCCTGGCACAGGAGAGCGTCTGAGCCTGCTGGGGTGGGGTAGCGTTTCAGCTGGGCTGCAAGCATTGCAGGGTGGGAGCTGGGGGTGGGAGCTGGCTCCCCCCGAGGGAGACGACCCCGTGGGAGTTGCACACAGCTGGGGTGCTCACGGGTGGGCCCTCGCGTTGGCACGTGAATAGCTTTGTGAGCCTGGAGACACCTTGCCCAGCTGCACTGGAAAAACACGTCACGGGGCTTGGCGGCGGCTGGCGGAACATCTGTGCCGACATGTGCTCCTGTCTCTTGCCTTAGAGAAGAAAACCTCCCTAATTGTCCCCAGCGGATCTCAAGCACGTTTGTCATGAAAACCAGCATAAGCATGTTTTCTGTCACTTGAAATAATGGTGGACAAGATGGGCTTTGAACGGGCAGGTGGTTTTCGTTCGAGGAGGTGGCCCGGTCTGGCCCTGTGCGTTCTGAGTTGCTCATGGGCCGGGGTGTGACTCACCTCACTGGGCCTGCTCCAGAGCGGTCCCCGCCTCTTGGCCGATGGCTCTCGGGACCCCTGCTGGGACCCCGTGCCTCGGCTGGAAGATGCCTCAGCAGAAGCTTCCGCGAAGGGCCAGGGGCACTTGGTCACGGCCGCTCCACTCTGCCGTTTGGGATGGATGCAGCCACAGACAGTATCAGATGGATGTGTGGCCTGTGCCGACGGGGCTTATCTGCAGAGCAGGTGTCAGGCGGATCGAGCCCGTGGCCCTAGTTGGCTCAGCCTGGGCGCAGAGGCTGCGTCGACGCCCTCTCCAGGCCCTCGGGACTGACTCCCGGCTCCCGGGCGGGGCCCCTTCGTCCCAGCGTGCCAGGGGCCTCTGCAGGTACTGAGAGCTGTCCCCCCTCCAGGTCCTGGGTTCCTGGGGCAGCTGCTGCTCCGGCCCTGTGACCCTTCTCTGCAGCACAGGTAGACGTGCCATAGGCGGTATCACCTGGTTTAGTCTCCACCTTGCCTGACTGCCCAGGGACCATGTGGAGGGTCATAGGCTCGAGGCGTGGTGGCCCCATGGCCCCTGGATGCCCTGGCCAGTTGGGAAGCCGGCAGGTGTTCTGAGATCCAGTCTCATGTGTCCCGTGTGCCCTCCCGGGGACGTTAGTGTGTCCACCATCCCCCTCCCTCAGGCCCTCCCCTGCCCACTGGGTGTCCCACTGATACAGGGTGAGCAGCTGGTCTGGAAGGCATCTTGGTGTGATTCCAAGAGGCATGCCCTCCGGGTGCTCAGGATGGTGGTCCCCAGCTCTGTCCAGCACACCCTGACACTGTGCCCAAGCCCACCTGTCTGTCCTACCTGCGTCACCAGTCTACGAACCCCTCGCTGTGCTCATCCCCCCTTTCCCACACGCCCGGGATGCATGTGGCTCCATCCAGCCAGGCTCAGTGCAGGCAAGAGACCCATCTGCACCTTAAGTAACAAGGGGCATCGCACAGGGCACGCTGGGGAATGGTGCTGAGGAGTAGACTGCCCTGGGTGGGCTCAGGGCCTTGGAGTCAGGGCAGGGTTCAGGGAATGAAGAGGAAGCTCGGGAGGTGCAGGGCAAGGAGATGTGGCAGTCTGGGTTCCATCTGGTTTAGATCATCACCGTGCTGGGCTCTCGGCAGCCTATGGTTCTCTTGGGCTCTGAATTCCCTCATCTGTCATATGGGGATAATTATACTGAACTAAGCGCTGAAGCTGAAAATGGAAAACAAACATAGGGTATGCCTGGCGCACGGTGGATGCTTAGTGAACAGTGGCTGTGACGGTGGTGGAGGTGGAGGTGATGATGGTGATGGTGATGACAATGGGGATGATGATGATGGTTTGATGGTGGTGATGGTGGTGATGATGGTGATGATGATGGTGGTGATGATGATGGTTTGATGGTGGTGATGGTGATGATGGTGATGATGGTGATGGTGCTGATGGTGATGATGGTGATGGTGGTGATGGTGATGATGGTGATGGTGATGGTGGTGATTGTGGTGGTGATGGTGATGATGGTGATGATGGTGATGGTGATGGTAATGATGGTGATGATGGTGATGATTGTAGTGATTGTGATGGTGGTGATGGTGGTGGTGATGGTGGTGATGGTGATGATAGTAGTGATGGTGGTGATGGTGATGATAGTAGTGATGGTAGTGATAGCGATGGTAGTGATGGTGATGATGATGGTGATGATGATGGTAATGATGGTGATGGTGATGATGGTAGTGATGGTGATGATGGTAGTGATGGTAATGATGGTGATGATGGTGATGGTGATGATGGTAGTGATAGGAGTGATGGTAGTGATGGTGATGATGGTGATGATTGTAGTGATTGTGATGGTGGTGATGGTGGTGGTGATGGTGGTGGTGATGGTGGTGATGGTGGTGATGGTGATGGTGATGTTAATGATAGTGTTGCTGATGGCCCTGTTGCTGCTGCTGATACCCCGCCTGATCAGGACTCCATATGGAATCTAAACGCATCCAGGTCTATGGATTGACGTGTGTGTCTAATTAGTTTTAGGCAGGCCTCACCTGCGCAGTTCTAATAAAACTATGGTCAGTATATTTCTCCTCTTCTCTATGAAATCAATTAACAAGGGCTCTGACTGTAAGCAGCAAACGGTGTCTAAGATGCTGGTTTTCCAGGAGCCCCAGGGGGTCGGGTGCCGATGCTTTTCTGCCCTGGATGATGAGGGGGGGAGTTTAAATACCAGAGGTTCCCAGGCCAGGCCAGCTTGTCTGCAAGATAAAAAATAAACCCGCCTTCTCGCAGCAGATCAGAGGAGCTGGCTTGTGTTCTGTCTCAGTGCCCTTTAAGTCAGGGTCCCGTGAGCACTTGGCAGCTAAGCGGCTGCCTCCACGGGGTCCTTGCAGGGTGATAGTCCCCAGAGCACTGAAGGCGAGCATCTCACCGAGCAGAAGGCATCCTCAGGTCTTTCCTAGGACCCCACCAGGCCTTTGGTGGCCGCTGTTGGTTGTCATTCCTCACACAGGTCAGGAGATGGAGGCTTGTTCCCCAGGAGCTTGGCTAGAAAGTGGAACGCTGGGCTTCCAACCCTGTGCTCTGTGTCTTCTCCCCCAGTCCGTGGAACTCCCCCCGTGAGCCCTTGACTGGTGGGGACGGGCTCCTCTGGGCACGCGGCCTGTGTGAGCCGTGGTCTTTAGGGAGCTGCCCTTCAGAGGTGCGGCGGGTCCCGGGGGGCCAGGTCCCACCCTGGTGCCATCAACCCTGCACGTCACCCTCTTTTCTAACCTCGTGCATCTTATCTCTTCTTAGAGCTCTATCTGCCTAGAACAGCTGTTTTCAAAGAATAATTTCCACTGGAAACGGACTCTGACTTACCGTTTGGAGTATTTAGTGACTCGTGTCTGTGACATTTAAGCAAAGCTCACCTCCATGCAATAGGAATGAAAGCACCTAGGAACCCACTCACGTCCTGTCTTCCACGCTCGGGTGTGGGGTGTGGGGGTCTGGGCACACCAGCAGAGCCTCTGTCCCCAGCAGCCCTCGTGGTGTCCTCGCTCCGTGTCCGTGGCCCACACTCCCGTGGTCCAGACTGTTCCCTATAGCGACCTCAGGCAGACCTGGCACCTTCTAGAAAACATTGGTGGCCCCCAGTCGGGGACGAACCTGCCCCCTGAACTCCAGCGGGGGTGTCAGGGGGACGAACCTGCCCCCCCCCGAATTCCAGCGGGGGTGTCTGAGCCTGGCCCCTCCCCACGGCGAACATGGACCCTCTTCCTTGTAGCTCCAGCTTGGAACCTGGGCCACCCACCTGTTCCCCAGGATCCCTTTCTTCCCAGGTCTGGTCATCTCCCTTCTGTCCCCCGCACCACGCTCGTCCCGCCCAGGCCCCTGGCGTTCCCCTTCGGACAGCTGTGTTCACTGCGCAGCCGTCTCCCTCCTCCCAGCCTTTGTTCCCTCTGACCCACTTCCCACTGCACACCCCGTCACTCCCTGTCCCCTGTGACGAACCCCCTCCTGGGACCCTGGAGGCCCTGGCCCCTCATCGGCTTGTCTTCCGCCCCCTCCCCCCACCCGGCTTCCTGCAGCTCAGCCCCAGGGCCTTTGCACTTGCTCTCTCTGCTGGGAAGGCTTCCCTGGATTGCCACGGGGCTCTTTTCTGGTCGCTGAGGGCACCTCCTCAGGGAGGCCTTCCCTGACCACCTGCCCTCGCTCTCCCTCCCTCTTGTCGTGTGCATGATCCTGGGGCGAGGGCGGTACCCGTGTGGTCGATGCTCAGCATTGACTCCTTGAGTGTGTGAATGAATGCGCTTTCCGGCTCTGTGTCTTCGTGCACGAGATGGAAATGATGCCCCGGGCGTCTGCGGGGGTGCCCAGAGGGTGGTGTGCCTCGGACCTCGACCATGCTCAGGGGGGAGGATGGTACTTTTGTTCAGGGAAGTGTCTCCGAAAAGCCACAGCAAGGAGATGCTTGGCGGCAGGCGATACCCGCCTGTGCTTCAGCCCTCACAGAACCGGGGCCCACTGCCGTGTCCACGCACGGCAGGCTCGCTCCCAGACGCAGCTGCTGCGCGGCTTCTCCGCTGCGGTGCGCACTGCGTTTCCCCGGGCGGCGCCCGAGCGCAGCCTCCCCGCCCCGCTCACCGGCCTCTCGTGCTCCCTGCAGGACAGCTGTGCCCGCGTGCTGCTGTTCCGGGGCGGCAACAAGGAGCTGAAGAACTACAACAGCCAGACCCCGTTTCAGGTAAGGAGGCTGCTGGGGGACCTGAAACCCCTGTGCGTGCGTGACGGCGGAGTGGCCTGGGGTCCGTGTGTGTTTGACACGAGGTCGGCGCGTGCCGTGGGGGACGTGGTCTGCCCTGAGCCTCGGTGTCCTCGAGCCCGAGCAGGTGACAGGTGTCCATTCCCCCCCAGGCTTCCTTCCCACCCGAGAGGCGGTGTGGGTGACAGCACAGTGAGGACTGGGCGCTGCCCGGGCTGCGTCCCGTGGGCAGCTGTGGGCAGAGCTGGTTCCGCTGCCTGGCCCTTCACCGGGGACAGAGGCCTGAGACACTCACGGGCAGGAGGCTGGTCACCTTCTGCCCCCACGGGGGCTGCTGTCCCGCAGCAGAGGGTGAACCAGGGCGCTCCACGGGGATGCGTGAACCAGGGACCTCATTTCTTTTCAAGGGTGGCGGAGCGTGTGCAACATCAGATGTACCATTGTAGCCACTTCAAAGTGTAGACCTCAGGGGCCATGAATACATGACACCTCCGTGGTGGCTTCACTCCTGGGAGGTTCAGAACCTCTCCATCACCCCAAAGACAACCCCGTGCCACTAAGCAGCCACTTCAGTTTCTCCCCCCGACCCCGACACAGCCACCACCCCACTTCCTGTCTCCGTGGAGTCGCCTTGTCTGGGCATTTCGTATAAACGGGGTCACACACCGTGTGGGCTCCTCCCACGGAGCAGAACGTTTCCAGGCCTGTTGGGTTGAGTGTGTGGTTCCCTTTGAGGCCCGGTGCCCTCCCCTGGTGATGCCATGGGGCTCGTCCATCGTGATGCTGCTGACCAGGTGGTTCTAGGTGAACACGCGCTGAAGGCCCCTAAGTTACATCTGCGCCGGGGTCCTCACCACGGTCAGACCCTCCATTCGAACTGAACATCGAAGGCACGTGTTTAGAAGTAATGTTTCCTTCTTCTTGCATTGAAAGGCGTCTTTGGAACTGGCTGCTGAGCGTATTTTACTAACACTCTTCTTAGCCCTCCCTGGTTTATCCACTGTGTTCTTCCACATTTTGTAATTCCATTAGCTATGGGCTTTGATGTGTTTTTTTAAAATGTTTTTATTGATTTTTTAGAGAGAGAAGAAGGGAGAGAGAGGTAGAAACATCGATGTGAGTGAGAAGCATTGATCGACTGCCACCCGTACGCCCCCTACTGGGGATCGAGCCCTCAACCCAGGCATGTGCCCTGACCAGGAACCGAACCGGGACCTCTCAGTCCATGGACGACACTCCATCCACTGAGCCACACTGGCCAAGGCTGGGCTTTGATGCTTGAAAATGAACCAGTTCAACCTCAAAACTATCCTGGACATTAATAACACCACCCAAGAGTGCTTAGTGACCCCTACTGGGCACTTGGACTGAGTCTCGAACCTGCGGTGTGCAGATGTTAGTGCCAAATGGGTGGTAGGCGTGAGTCCCTGGGCGCTGCTGGCTCTGTTGCCCTCTCCGGGCTGGCGACGAGGGTGCCGGGGCCCCGCACTTCATCGTGGGGCCGCACCTGCCCCTTTGGGCTTGGCTGTGGGTTGCTGGTCGTGGTTCACATGTTTTTGTGGACCAGCATCAAGTAGTACGTTTCATTAGGCCCTTTTAAAAAAAGTCGAACTGTGCCCTGGCCGGTTTCGCTCAGCGGTTAGAGCGTCGACCTGCGGTCCGGAGAGACCCGGGTTCGGTTCCCGCTAAGGGCATGTACCTCGGTTGCAGTTTGTCCCCGGCCCTGGTTGGGTTGTGTGGGTGGCAACCACTCGATGTGTCGCTTTCACGTCGATGTTTCTCTCTCTCTCTCTCTCTCTTCCTCCCACTCTATCTGAACAAAATATCGAAAAAAATGTCCTCGGGTGAGGATTAAAAAAAAAAAAAAGTCGAACTGTTGCTCAGATTGCCCAGGGCCAGCTCTCCGGCGAGGAGGGAGAGGCGGTTCTGACTGCGGCCGGGGCCGGTCGCTGCCGTGAGCTGCTCCCGGACCGTGAGCGGCGCCCGGACCAGGATCACTGTGGGTGGCCTCCCCGTCCATCCGCGCTCCTGTCCCTCAGCACAGGGCCTCTGCGTGCCCCCACCGCAGCACCAGCTCTCGCCCAGGGCCATCTGTCTCTGTTTCTCTAACCACAATCAATCAAGTGCCACCCCTCGTTCCGGAAGACAGTTACGTAAAGCACACTTGAATAATGAGGCTTGAATGATGCCCTGAGGACAGCGCTCACAGGACCGGTGGGCTGGAAGCCCGGGTCGGGTCGCGGGCTCTGCCCACCCAGGATGGGCTCTGGCTGTGCCGGGCTGGGTCCCCCCCCCCCCCCCCCCGTGTCCCTGCCTCGTCAGGTCTGAGCGATAGGAAGACACTGAACTCGGTGTGTGGACCTGCCTGTATGGTGTCCCCAGCTCCCACTCTTCATGCTCAGTTCCTCCCCTCCCGATGCTGACAAATGAGCCACTTACCGTTGAGTTTGAGGGGGGATGCTGGCTCACTGCCTCCCGGGATGGGATCAGTCACGTTCACCCGGAAACCCTGCGCCGTTCGGCTGCCGCTGTGAGCGGGGGCCTCTCTGAGAAGTCTTGGACCGCTCGACGGTGTTTACCCGGCCAAGCTTTGCTCAGTGATTCAACACGAAGGCCGAGCCAGCAGCAGCAGCAGGAGTCGGGACGCTGGGGGAGGGCAAGCTCCCCGTCCCACCGAGCCGGGCCCTGGGGCAGGGCTGCCGCCCCACGTTCTAGCGAGCTGTCTGGTTCTGTTGCTCAGCCGTGAGGATCAGAGAGACAGGCGAGTCTTTCAGGGCATTTACAACGTTCCTGAGTGTATCTTGAACCATCGTGACGGTGATGATGGGTGTCTGGTCAGCTCAGGAGCTGTAACGAAACACCGGACATTTGTATCTCCTGGTTCTGCGGGTGGAAGCCTGCGGTCAAGGTGCTGGCAAGTCTAGTGGAGGCCCTGTTCCTGGCCTGTCGACGGTCACTTCCTCACACCCGGCCTCTCTGTGCGTGGGGGGAGGGGGCGGCTTTTCGTGCTTCTTCCTTTTCTTCTAGGAACAGCAGTCCCATATCATTACGGCCCCACCCGTGTGGCCTCATTTAACCTTTTTTGTTGTTGTTGTTCAGGTAGAGTGGGAGGGAGAGAGAGAGAGAGAAACATCGACGTGAAAGGGACACATCGAGTGGCTGCCACCCGCACGACCAACCACGGCCGGGGACAAACTGCAACCGAGGTACGTGCCCTTAGCGGGAACTGAACCCGGGTCTCTCCGGACCACAGGCCGACGCTCTAACCGCTGAGCCAAACCGGCCAGGGCTCATTTAACCTTAATTAGCTTTCTAAAGACCCTGTTTCCAAATACCACCACACTGGGAGTTAGGATTTCAACATATACATTTTGAGGGGACACTATTCAGTCTGTAACAGTTGATGTTGGTGATGGTGATGTTGACAGTGGTGACAATGGTGGTGATGATGATGGTGGTGATGTTATGGTGGTGACCATGGTGGTGATGTTGACGGTGGCGATGTTGACAGGGGTGATGATGGTGGTAATGTTGATGGTAGTGATGTTGACGGTGGTGATGATGGTGGTAACCATGGTGGTAATGTTGATGGTGGTGATGTTGACAGGGGTGATGATGGTGGTAATGTTGATGGTAGTGATGTTGACGTTGGTGATGATGGTGGTAACCATGGTGGTAATGTTGATGGTGGTGATGTTGACAGGGGTGATGATGGTGGTAATGTTGATGGTAGTGATGTTGACGGTGGTGATGATGGTGGTAACCATGGTGGTAATGTTGACGGTGGTGATGTTGACAGGGGTGATGATGGTGGTAATGTTGATGGTAGTGATGTTGACGGTGGTGATGATGGTGGTAACCATGGTGGTAATGTTGATGGTGGTGATGTTGACAGGGGTGATGATGGTGGTAATGTTGATGGTAGTGATGTTGACGGTGGTGATGATGGTGGTAACCATGGTGGTAATGTTGACGGTGGTGATGTTGACAGGGGTGATGATGGTGGTAATGTTGATGGTAGTGATGTTGACGGTGGTGATGATGGTGGTAACCATGGTGGTAATGTTGATGGTGGTGATGTTGACAGGGGTGATGATGGTGGTAATGTTGATGGTAGTGATGTTGACGGTGGTGATGATGGTGGTAACCATGGTGGTAATGTTGATGGTGGTGATGTTGACGGTGGTGATGATGGTGGTGACCATGGTGGTAATGTTGATGGTGGTGATGTTGATGGTGATGATGGTGTTGGTGTTGGTACAGCAATAACGCTGGTGTTGGTGGTGATGACAGCAATGACAACAAATTCAGCGATGATGACAGAAGACTAAAGCCCACACACCTCTGCTGTAGGTTCTCATTCAATGAATAGCACCCGATGGGGCCGGCATTTTTACCCCACTTTACAGCAGGTGTGGAAGTGGAGAGGTGGCTGCGTGGGACTTCAGAACCAGGCCTCCTACCTTCCGGTCCCGTGCTCCTGGGTATGGAGTGCGGGAGGCACTTCTCTCTGGCATGTAACTTCTCTTGCATCCTGGTGTGGCGTGAACATCAGGGTCCTTTGCTTTTCAAATTGCTCAGTCCAAGGCACACGACATCCTGATTCTGAAGAGAAAGAGAAACGAGTCTGTGGAAGAACCCAAAGCGGTGGACGCTGCTGGTGCGTGTCCGCCACCGCGGACCAGTGACCTCATCGAACACCACGGGGCGCAGGTGTTGCTGTGGGGTGTGTTGTAGGTGTGCTGAACGCCTGTAACCCGTCGACTCTAAGGAAGGAGATGAACCCTCCATAATGCGGGTGGGCCTCAGGGATCAGCCGGAGGCCTAGGAGCCAACGCTGAGGTTTCCCAGAGAAGAAGGAATTCTGCTTCCAGATTGTAATGGACACCCTGCCTGCCCCAGTGTCGGACTCAGAGCCCACAAGCGCGGGCCGCTTGCTTAAGACACCTCGTCCTTCCCACTTCGCGCTTCGACTTTCGCGG